GTGTCCCATCAGTTCTTTTATCACTCTTCTCAAGGTCATCCAGCTGGCCAAACCCAAAAAAAAAGAGAACCGCTCGGCTCGCGTCGCCGGTCCATCCCGGAAACAGCGCCCATTGGATCGCGCTCCACTCGACTTCGGTTTGGAATCAAAGGTCCGCTGACCTCGTGCTACGTTCTGTTAGCTTATTGTTTCTACTAGCTTCTTGTTACTACTAGTATGGCACTTGTTACTACTAGCGTGGCACTTGTTACTAGTAGTAACAAGAAGCTTGATTCTACTTCCCTACTGCTTCTTGTACCACTAGGACAAGGACCATCATCATGACCAGTAACAAGAACAACCACTATTGTGGCGACAACAACGACCGCGCACAACAACGGCAGTAAAGCAAATGATGCTGGTGAGGGCATTCTAGTGTTATTCACGCTTGGATCGCTTGAAAAGGAATGCTTTTGCCTTGCAGGTGGAGATATTGTTCATTGACTCAAAACTTGCGCGTCTGGTTCGCTTGGTTCTTGTTCTTCTTCTTCTTCTTCTTCTTCTTCTTCTTCTTCTTCTTCTTCTTCGATCACTTTCACACCCCGCTGACCCAGTGAAGACGATCCTCTAAGGCCACCTTCATGGTGGTTTTACAAACTTCAAGCATCTTCAAGCTCAGACAGTGGATAAGAACCGTGGCATGGGCATTCTTGACGCCACGGGTGACAGATACAAGGTAATCTCCAAAACGATCGCAACAAAAAGCTTGTGATGATACACAAATTACATGCCAGGAAGGATAGCGATTTCGTCTCAAATCTTGAGAATGTATATATATATATATATCTACTAGAGCCACCCCCTTGTGCAGTCCCAAGCCTGCAGGTACACCTTGGCCGTCTGCTTTGGATAGCCTCAAGCCACAGCGAAGATGAAGGACTGAGCGAAGCGAAGCCGGGTTTCGATCTAAGGTCATCAGCCGCTGAAACGCCAAGAAACGCCGACACTGGGGTTGCGATGTGGAAGCTCCGAGCAGGCAGAGGTCTTGGGATAAATGCCTTTGAAACATGGGAACCTTTATAACTCTGATATTATAACTCTGACAGAATCTCACCTCACTCACCTGCATTTCTCTGACGAGTGTAGCTGCGGATCACAAAGCCCAACCCAGGCTACCGGGCTACCTGAGCATCAAAAGCACCAAGAACATTAAAGCCCTGCCTTGCCCAAATAGGACACGTCAAAACGTAAGCGCTGCCTATGAGTTCACCCGTCTTCTTCCCGTCTTCTCATGGTTCTGGATGGCCAGTCCCCCGGTTGAATCACAGCCATGACATGACCAGACCAACCCGACCATGCCATATCATGATGTAACGCACACCTGGATCCCTGGAGCCCGACCAGGAAGGGGCCCATTCCGATCCCCTACTCAAATTTTGCCAAAACCATCCGAAGCGTGGCAAGTGCTAAGCAAATACCTTTTGGAATGGTTCTACCTTTGACATTGAGGCGTCGGAAACCACAAGCCGGCTGGCCCAACCACCATCCATTTGCGGCTGGTGGTGGGCCTTCGTGAACCACGCTTGGCCTGCGGTGGGTCAGAAATCAAGGAGTTGGGGAATGGTGCCCACACTTCAAGGTTGTAACAAAACCATACAAAACTCTACAAAACAACAGGTGACACCTGTGCCAGCAACAGGTTTAGGTCGTGCGGCGCCTCAAAAGAGGTTGGCAGGTTTTGGTCTTCTCCTTCATCAACCCTTTTTGGGAAACTTGCAAGCAAGATCTTGACCGCCAGCGCCTCCGTCTCCTTGCCCTTGTGGCTAGGTTCTGAGGGAGTTGACCTCTGCTGCGGAGCTTCTCCGGAGGTCCGAGTGGATGGTTCTTGGATGATTTGGATCAAGACCCACGAGCCTAGTATGCTTCTTTCCCAAAAGCTTGCACTTGCATGCATTTGCTGCCTGAATTTAGTTTCTTGATGCTGAACATCAATGATTGGAGAAGACATGTGGAGCCCAAACACTGACAAAAAGAACACTTTTCCTCGAGGGCCCGCGTTCAGGGCTCAATGGGATCCATGTATTCCTGTCATCAACCTCCAGCAAAGCCAGTGGAAAAGCAACCACTGACCAAAGGTGGATGAAGAAATCAAACACTTCCACGTCAAGAGTTGAAAATAGTCTAAGCACATTAGAGAAGAAAAGAACGCTTCCTTCAGATCTGTGGGTTTGATGTTTGGTTTCAGGGACATGGCAAACCCTCTGCCCTCTGCCATGTCATCTGCACAGGTCTTTTCCTAACCCCAACCTGGAACTCCTGGTGAAAGAGCCTTTCCCTCATCCAGCACCGGTCCATACATATACACCAGCCCATGCACGTGTGCCTAGTCACACCTGGAAAGAGAGGGACCTGGTCCTTCCACTCATTGCTTCCCGGGCACTCGATTGCGGGGATGCTCCCCAAATGTCTCTCTGCAGGCTTCACCACGTCATGATCCACCTGCAAGAGTGGCGGTCATGCCAAACACAGCAAATGACAAGAAGGTAAAGAAGATGTATAGGGAAATCTATTGTCGTTCTTCAATATCTATCGAAAAGCAATGAAGTGGTCGTTCTGCCTCCCCCTCCCGAAGAACAAGAAATTTCATGACCTACAGCAATCCCTCCCTCTCTTCCCCCAGGGGTTCGATTGTGATTTGGCAATGTTTTCCATTGGATGTTTTTCCGGTAGTGTTTTAGAAGAGGGAGGGAGAGGGACAAGGTAAGGGAAGCCTCTGTGAGGGTTGCATTGGGTTTCACTCTTTTAGGGTTTCTTACAAAACTCAGGCGGTGGCCAATCATCAACGACAACTGCTCAAGGAATATGTCTGCATTTTCTGTCTGTCCGTATACATGGATGGATGGATGGAAGGACGGACGGACCGACGGACGGACTGAACTGGAAGGAGGCAGAAAGGGAGGGATGGAGGTATGCCACGTTGGAATGACTCCTTCTCGTCTAAATTTTACCTTCGGACAGTTCTCGTCCAAAATGTTGCCCTCGGAATGGCTCACAAGAGGCACGGTACGCTGGAATGGCTTCTTCTTCCTTCTCTAAATTTTCCCTTTGGCAGGGGTCACAAAAGGTATATGCTACATTGCTATATTGAGAAGGCTTTTCCTTGTCTAAATGTTAGCCTCGGATTTTGGATTCCGTCCTGGACGGACACGAGAAGTAAACACCACTCAGACTATCACGAGAGAAAAGAGTCACACAAAAGACGGACTACGACCAAGTAAGACATGATTAGGATCATTTTGGCACACAAACACGCATCCCCAAGGTCTTTTGCTTTTGGCAAAGCGTCCACTCAGCCAAAATAGAGAAGCTGGGAGGGGTGGCAGGAAATCGGAATGGTTGCAGACTTTGTGGTGCGGAAGGGGGGTTGGGGGGGAGGGCGCAGCTGAAAGAAGCACGAAAAGAAGAAAAGTCCTTCCGAAACCGGCTCGCAAAAGGCATGCTACATGGAGAAGATGGCTCCCTCCACTCCTGAATCGGCATCCCTCGGCTAATGTTCTTTCGTCCAAAAAGAAACACGATCTCAGAACTCTGTGGGAAAACTTCCCCATGTCACACCCTAATCCCAAAACCCTCCGTCTTTATCGCCCAACTCTGCTACATCTGTCGACGCCACTCGGCTCTTCGCCTGCAGCGAGGCCGGCTGTGTGATGACCTCCTCGGAGCAGCGGCCGAAGTCACGCAGCGGCCTTGGAAGAGAAGGGATCGGAAGAGATCCATCCACAACCGCCTTGGGTGGAGCAAGAAAGCCCTGAAAAACAGGTCGCAAGCCCAAGATAGAATTCTCTTCATGCTGTTCAATTGCTTCTTGCAGGCAAGAAAGTTGAAGCCACATCAATCCCAGGTCACCACAGGAGTCTTCCTCAGAAGAAGACAAGTCAAAATCCAGTGGATCAGTAAGGGGTTGAGGAAGAACTGCTATACTTGGAGCCCGGTCCATTTTTTGCTGTCATTGATTAGTGACCCCAATAGATCGACGATCGAAGAGCCCAGCCCGATGATTTCATGTCCAGGACGATTTCGGTCGTTGTCAGTTAGCCCCGTTGTTCGCCCCGTGGGGAGGTTTGGGGGGGTGCCGTGAGATGGATTGGATTGAGAAGAGTCCTCGAAACTGGGTGTTTCAACTTCACTTTATATGTGGTTCCTGTGCCAAGAGTGTGCTTCTGAGAGCCATCTATCTCTGGTTTCACTACTTCTAGTCCCGCAAGTCCAAAAGCCCTTTAGGTGCACGTTGTCCTTCACAGAGCGTTTTCAAAAGGCCCAGTTTGAAACCACATCCAAACGTCGTCCAGCCGACCCCGAACCGCAGCACAGCCTCATCTCCTAAAGCTCTGAAGCCTTTGCAGAACCCTTTTTTTGACATCAATTCTCAATTCCTCTCAATTCCTCACCAACAACGACCACTTCCAGCTCCGGTCCGCTCCCGACTCCGCGAGGGGGGGGCGCCTCGTGGTCTCGCGCGGCCTCCAGCTCCGCCGATCCCGGGCCTGAAGCCGTGGGTTTCGAGGGTCTTCTTTCAATTTCACCCAAAAACGCCTGGTCTGTTCGGACAAACTGTCACCCAGTCACCTGACGGACCAAGTTAGGACAGGGAGGTTAGGAGTGAGCCCAAGACCTCTTTCTGCGATCAAACCCAAGCGCAAGCTCTGAAAGCTGTGCGATGTTCGCAGTGCACTCTGCCGAAAGCGGCCTTCACCGCTAGGCATCAGGGTTCATCCAGTGACCGCCTCCGTGCATTTTCTTTGGCAAGGAAACGGGATAATTCGGCATCGTATTCAAGTGATTGACAGTCAGACTGACTCATTCGTCTGCCTTGATTGCTGGAATTCTTCAGCGCTTGAAATTCCTGGTGAATGGCACGCATCTCATCAGCGTTGATGTAGTGGAAGGTGAGGGGCAGGGGCTCACGTGCTCGAATCGCGTTCAGGTAGCCCTCATTCAGCAAGCCTTTCTGACGCTTCCCATCAATGCGCCAACCATAAAGCCCTTTGATGGGCAAAAGAGAAACACCATGTCTTCGAAGCGTACAGCTCACAGAAATATCTGCCCAAGACTGTCCGTTCTTCTCTCTGGCAATATTGGCCATCAAATCCCTCTGAAATTCGCTCATGTTTGGCTGCATCAAACTTTCCAATGCTGCCCAAGTCATAGCAAAGCCGCCGCCCCCCACAGTAGCCACCCTGCTTGTTGCAGAAGTGCATACCACACCCCGGAATACCCACAGAAATCAGCTTGGACGCATCAAATCCCGACAACACGTTGTGCACATGCCGCACACTCAAATAGAAGTCGTCATCCACCATGAACAGCCACGAGAAGTTCCCACGAGTCCTTAGCTGGATGCAAACAGCTGACGAAAAAGTACCACCTGGAGCCCTGTTAAGAGCCTTAGTTTCTACAAGAGTTGCTTTCTTGCAAGATTCCTGGGGCCGCCAAACCATGAAAAAAATCTGACATGCGCTAAATCTTTCGCAAACTAGACCCCAAAAAAAAATCCTGCTTTGCTCCAAAATTTGAGATGCTCATAGGCCCGCTGGAGAGCGATCCCAGCTTTACAAACCAGTTGGTCGTTGTGATCGTTCCCACATGGAGGGCTCGCAGAAATCACCGGCGGATTCTTGGACTCTTTGTCCCCGACGGCCAGTAGGGCATCATGCTCAGAGCTCAGGACGTCTCGCACCCAGGTGCTCATAGCGCCGGCCACCTTCGTGGCGTAGTTCTTCTTGTGGGTGAGCATCACATACCTAGCACAAACAGGACAGGTGTTTTCCAAAGATGTTTCTTCAACCTTGCCCTCCTCATCTCTTCGTGACGTTCGGCAGAAAAACGACCTGAAAGGTCGGTGGACAGCCCAGTTGCAGAACACCGAAGTCGCCAGCACTTGGGCTGATCGTGGCGCTGACCGTGGCGCTCGGGCTCGGACTCAACGCCGGTGACGCCGCCGGCCCACCGGCTTTGGCTCCGGAGCCGGAGCGCCAGTAGACGTTGAGGATCTGGGAGTCCAGGCCGTCCAAGGCCAACGCCTGCCGGATGGTCCCAGCAACGCGCGAGGCAGCCGACACGACGAGGCGTCGTGACGGTGGAAGGAAACCGATGGTGGGAAAGCTGAATCAGCTCCAAAGGTCAGGTCTTTCCACTTCGACGTTGAAACGCTCTGCGAAAAGAGTCAGAGTCTGAAACGCTCTGCGAAAAAACGACGGCGACACATCCACCAGCGGATCGCTACACAGCCTGAAAGATACTGACCAGAACCAAGGTGAAACAACAGAGGCATCGGCGCAAGGTCTGCGAGTGAGGCCGCAAGGTCTGCGGCCTTGGCTCGATGCCGTGGTTTCGGTCCTTCCCAGGTGCCCTTGATGTAGGCACACCCCCATTATCCGAGGGGGGTCACAAATTTCACTCCGCATCTGATGTTCCACCAAAAAAGAGACCGAGCCAACGCCGCGGCCACGCCCGAAACCCGAAACAACTCGTCTGGCACCACTTTGGGATAAATCAAAACTGGAGAAAATGCAGGAGTCCGAGGTCACAGGGACGGTCAACGCCCTTTCCAACGCGTTGCCGAGAGGCTCGTTCTTTGGCTGGGGGCTTTCTTCGGCTCGTTCCACATCGGCTTCCGTTTGGAGGTAGCGCTGGCCTCTCATGCAGTCGAGCGGACTGTGTGTGCATCCTGGAGCCAAAAGGTCGAGAGGCCGATTCGGCCGATTCGGCCGGACGGACCACGCATGATTCGATCTGGGATCATCTGCAAGCCTGTGGAAGACACTGGTTCCACCAAGTGCTCCAGTTCAGCTTCCAGGTCCAGTGAGGCCGTCATTTCGCCACTTCCAAGCGAGAGAACACGGAGATCCACCGACTTGGATAGAGGCTCTGAGAATTCCTTTCAAACCACTGACTCTGGGGACTTGCTTCCACGTGGGGTCCCCAGGCGGAGAAACGCTTGCCCACCCAAGAAAAAGGGTGCTAGGGTCGCTCTCCTAAGGACCTGCTGCTTGGTGTGCTTTCTCTCTTCACAAAACAAGACCTACCCCGAGTCAAACACCAGAAGTTCACATGGACCTGACACTGGACACATGGACCTGACATAAGATCATGTTCCTCCGTAAAATGGTGGTTTACCTTTTACCTGTTGCTCGCCCCGCTCCAATATCCCGCACATCAACTACGTACCAACGGGCTGGCTCCAATGGTGCACCGGGGCAAGGGTCAAACATGGCATGGGCCACTTAGATGCCCAATCATGAACAGCTTCTCCAAGAAGGTTTGGCTTCAAAGTGGATTTGATGTTCTTTGGGAGCATCTCACGTGGTTGTTGGAACCCTGTTAGAGTTGAAAATGCCGCGACTAGCACTAGTTGTCCACGTGTTGCCCATGTGGGGGAACACATGAGCTGGTGCTTCCCTCCCTCCCTCCCTCCCTCAGACTGGCGATTTGGAACTTGCCAGACGCGCCTTCACCTTCACCCGGTGGATTCCCAGCAGATGCTGGTATTTGAAGAGCTCCCTCAGAAAAGGGAAGCAACTTTCCAGGCATCAAAATGCAGCTTTGAGGGTCTTGGTGCGGAACCGAGTCCGTTCGGACCCACCTCCTTGGACTGGTTCTTTCCAACAAGCCAGTGTCGGGGACCTGAGAAGCCAACCTCTCGATCTCGGTGAGGTCCTGGGCGCAGACCGCCAGGCGGTGCGTACTTTGGCAGGATGCTTCGAAAGAAAGGGGTCAAACAAAGCTGCATGGCGATGATCCAACAGTTGTCCCATGTTGTCCCTTTGAGAGGCACTGTTTGCCATGTTTGGCTTGAAAGCACTGCGTGAAAGCGCGCCGCAAGCCAACGCGCAGCGCACTGTTTGCCACGTTCTTCTGCCTTCGAACCCTGACACCTGTATCCACGGACCGAATCCCTCACGGCCAGTCTGACTTCAGCAGGACAGAATCTCTCCTTCTCCTCCACGTTTTGCCAGGACTCATTGAACTTCTGCCATCTCAAGGGCGACGGAACATCTCGGCAACGGATGCCAGTGCCAAGCACGTGTCACCCTGTGTCCTTCTTCACTGGGCGCCATCAGCAGGTCGCCATTCCCTCAAACCACGCACCTCAAGTCTTCTTCCTGGCAGGTCTCATAGTTCAGCCGTCGTGCGCCATCGCCGCGCACCACCCGGTAGCGCGGCGCTGCGCCGTCGCGGTCAGGCGTCCCCAGCCGAGCCTTGACGTAGCCGTGGTCGGGCGTCCGGCGCCCCACGAAGGGATCGCCGTCCGGACCGAAGAGGCAGAAGTCATACTCATCGCCATCCGCCAAGCATCCTCCCACGGGTGAACGGCGTGCCGTCTCAGGTCGTCGAGTCCGAACGACATCGATTCCTGCCTACATGGGCTTCTGCAAATGCCTGTCCCGGGACCCCCAAAAAAGGAGCAGAATCGAGACCTCACCCACATGGAGCTTCTCCATACGATTGCCACTTCTCTGACGCCACGTGTTCTGGCCGTGTTCTGCCCATCACCCACCTCGCCCACCTCACCTCAGCCCTCGCTCCCACTCCTCGGATCCGAACGCATGCGCTCTCACCCGAGCTCACCGCCGTCACGGCCGCCACGGCGCGGCCGCGCTGGTCGGGCGCGCGCGGGTCGCTGTAGGTGGTATCACAGTGGAGGAAGCTCACCTCATCCGATCCGACGGGACGCATGGGCGGGCGCATGGGCGGGCGCATCTGGGGCGACATCACACGGCGTCTTCTTTTGTTCTTCGTTTGGGTGGGTTGAGCTCCTTCATCGCACTCGTATCAGTGCATCATGCTCAAGATCCGTAATCCGATGTAATTCCATGCTGGTCCTTTCCGACCGTGGGTCTACCCTGCACTCCTTTCCCCTGCAAGCTGGCCCACCTTCTCTCCTCGCACCACGAACGGCGAATCTCCACAAGGCTTGTGCCCACAAAAGACTGCCCTCACTCCATCGGATGCCAAGAACTCTTCCACCTCTGGGTGCAAAGTCGTCGGCATTCCTCCCTCCAGCAATGATTCCACCACGACGGAGCGCCGGAAACAGGCAGGAGTGCTGGTCAACACCAGTAAGGCCTGCAGGAGCCAGGAACACGAAAACACCAAGACATGCTTCCAAATATATAATGGTACATAGATAGAAGTCGTTCCCAGGACACTTGGTTTGAGGCACTGATCTCTCAATCACTATGAGACTAAAATTGATCAAAGGGAACAAAAAGAAGCTGACTGAAGTCTCTAACCTCATAGAATCAACCCTAGGCTTCATCCCTCCGCGATGATCTGGTCTGCAACTTGCAGCAGAAAAGCATAGAAAAGTGCTCTACTGCCTCTTTCTTTACAAGGACCCCCTCCTTCCCCGTCCCCGCCTCGCCGCCGCGCGCGCGGGTCTCGGAGTGGCAAAAGAGCGGCTGCGCGCGATGGCTTTGCAAGCCTTCGTGAAGGAAGCGGTTCATCGCCTCGACCCAGTCGATGAGGCGGTCCGATGCGAGGCTGCTTCCGCCCGGCTCGGCCCCGGGCTCGGGCGCCACGTAGCGCATGTCATGCGAGGGGATCCAACGCAGCGCGTCCTTCGGGATGCCTGCGCTCAAAGAAGGCTTTGCTTGGGAGACCACCTCATCTGGAGACAAATCTTTGATCACTGAAACGACAAAAACACCTTGTCCCAGTCGTCAATCTGCTCCTCATCTGTGACTAGCCTTGACCACCCAATCAGCCCTGCCACAAAGGCTAGTAAGGAACCACTGGCCAACCAAACATTGAAACATCCCCAGAATCGGAACCATGCAAAAGCACTTGGTAATAATTCACAAAACTTTTTGAGCAACTTGACCCTGCCTCCATGCACGAACAGCCACGGGCCCACCAGCACCAGTAGGCAGCTCTCCCGCAAGTACTCCCAAACAACCCCCTCCTGCCAGGGTTCGGCATAACCCCTGCCTCACTGACTAGACGATTGAAATCCTTTTGAAGATGGTATTTCCTACTTTCGGCAGGGCCTTTTCAGTACTCTTGCAAGATTGCAAAAACACAAGTTGGATTTCTCTCTCTCTCTCTCTCTAACCCAGAGATAGAAACTGCCCCACCTCCTCCACCGACTTGAGAAAGCTCTGGACCACCGCTTCCTCGTCCACGGCTTCCTCATCCACTCCGGCCAGCAATGCGAGTTCCCGACGACGAGACTCGAAGGCTCCACCTGGCCAAAACGGCCATGGCAAGCGGTGCCCCCCAACAACCTCAACCACCTCTGCGAACGCTTTGGAGTCATGACAACGATGTCTTGGCATCACTTTGTTGTCCTGGTGGGTCCACACAGGACCAGTGACAAGGACTTAGAATAGGAAGCTTTGGCATACAAATGGTGCTCATCGAAAGAAAAGGGATCTTGGTTGGAAGAAACACACATTCTGTGTGCCCAAGCACGAAACAATAGCCCTTTAATCATGTTGCTGAAAGGTTGTTCTCAACACCCTTTTGTCATATCTGATGAGCGCCTAGCCCAACGTTCAGTTCATCCCCTGTCTGTGTCATGGCGAAGCTCAGCACCACATCCGAGAAATCCGCACCTGCGGTCATGGTATGGTCCAAGATCCAGCGCAGTCGGTTAGCCCGGGTGTTCACTTCAGCCAAGGATCTTACACCCTGGCGCTTGGCGCTTGGCGCGTGGCAAAGACCAAAGGTGGTGTCAGTGTCAAATCACCCGAGTTCGAGCTCAAATATGTAGAAAAGCCTTTCCAAAGGACCCCAAATTTGACCGTGCTGTCTGACCGTTAGAAAACAGGTGACGCATGGGGGGTCCCGCCATGTTAAAATGACCGCAAAGAGAACCAGATGCGTGGGCCTCTTCTTGCTGCTTCTTCTCCAGGAATGACCGCAAAGAGACCTGCGGTGGAGCTCGAGGATAGACCGGCACCGGCTGCGGCACGTCGATCTCCTCCTCCTGCAGAGCTGAACTTTTCGGCCCCAATCTGCAGCACGTTTCGGTGAAAATTGTAAACAGGAGTTGGGTGTGACTCAAATTGATCCAAATTGGCAGTTCTTGGGAAAGACTAAACAGGTTTTGAGGTACAGCCACAGGTGACAGCCAGCTCGGCTGTGAGCCGCAGCTTGTTGATGTCTCGATTGCCTGCTAGCAGCCACACGCGTTCGGGGTGCCGGCGCTTGAAGGCCAGGAGCTGCTGTGCGATTCGGAGGTCACCTCACAGGGAAGTTTTGGTCGGTCCCCTTCGGTTGATGGAAGAAATCCAGCGCCCATCAACAAAGGGTGGAGGAAAACCATTGGAAAAGCCCACTCACTAGAGATCTCCGGTGTTGTGTGGCACGAAACATGACAGCATCAGCTGCGGACAAGGCTCCCTGAAGTCTCCCAGTTTGTTGATGTACCTGGTCACTCCCCACTCGATGTCAATGTTCCCTAACTTATGAGTCACCCTGTCTCTTTCATAAATCCTGCCTGTGCCTTTATCAAAAACATCACCCCCGAACACGAAGCCATCTTTCTCAGGATCGTTGATGAAAGCTAGTTCCCCGTCAGAATCCCAGCCGACCACATCGCTCAAGGCCACTGATGCTTGCCAGTACTCATAATTCCCCTCGCAATCCGTGATAAAACCAATCTTCCCGCACACAGCGGGGGCATCGCTTTCCATCTTTTGGAAGGAACATTACGTCGCCCGCTCACGATTGAAGCTATGCACTTTGGAACCAATCCGCAATGCAAGTCCCTGTGCAACTGCCACTGTGTAGCAATGTCCACTAACCACGCTAGGGTCCCTAGACGTTACAAGTGCAATTGCTGCTGTTGAAGTGTTCATCAAAACACAGGGTGCAGAATGGACAGAAAGTGTTTAGTTCGTTTGGCGCTGAACCAAGGCAGTTTCAACTTCACACCCCGTTTGGCTGTCCTGCTGATAATCAATGATGCGATCTTGAAAGGTTCCAGATCCCACAATACCACCTTCATCAAAGTAGGCCAACAGCCGCCTGTCCTCAGCAAACACACCACACCAAAAAGTGAACCGGTTGAGATCTTCTGAGTTCCCAGCAAAGAGGGCCATCTGGGCCCAGAAGAAAATACTACATATTTCAATTCAAAATCATGTTATGTTTTGTTCCATGGCCTTCATCGTGTTGCCACATCATTGAACAAATCTGAGGCAAGTATGGGCAAACATGGTCTGCTTTTCGTTTGCTTTGAACCTTCCAATCACTGAAAGCATGAAGGCACGGTGTAACTGTTTAAACACGCATATCAACAGCCATACACGCCACCACAAAGGTGCAATCACACTGACATGGACCAATGTTTTGACTCTTAACAAACCAGCATGGTGCCCAAAGTTTCCACAGTCGGGCGAAATTCACTCTCTCCAAGCGATCAAAAACCGCACAAATTTGTTTGGTTGACTCACATTCTGTGTTGAAGATCTGCATGCACTCGTTACAGTATTGCAGTTTCATTCGGATTTAGGCTGCACGATTGCACTGCACATTCAAGCTGCGAAGTTGCTGTCATGATTGTCTTAAAACCATTTGGGGGAAACAGCCTTGCTCTGCCTCACCTTGTCTGCAAAAGAGTATTGGAGGATTTGTTAATTTTGGTGTTTTGTGTGTTTGTGTTTCTTCGAGGTTTTGCTACTTCATGACTCAGGCACTTAGTTCCAGCCTTCTTGTCCCCAAATTGAGAGACATGGGCATGGTTTAGTTCCAATCAATTTTATTGTGAAATCGAATCTACTGTAATTTAATTCTAACTCAATGTTAACTTAAATCATTCAATTTTACATGTAATTTAGTTTAATTTTAGTTGAATTCTAACACATTCTAATTCACTTCCAATTTGTTTTTAATTTAGCTTTAATCTGTTTACGTTTTTGTTTAATTGGCTTATTCGTGGCTTAACTCAAGTTCAAATCGTTCCATTCTTAGTTAACAGTTTATAGTTTTGCCCTATTTGTTCATTCAATTATAATTCTACGTTTTTAACAAAGTGTAAATCGATTTCTACTTTACGTTCAATTTGAATCTAATTAGAGTCAAAAAGATCAGTCTGAAATTGTTTTTGATTTATTTCTAAATTGATTTCTAGTTCAATTCTGATTGAACTCAATTTCCAACCTAATTGAATTCTACTCTAATTGTGTTCTAAATTTTAGATTCAATTTCAATTCTAACCGAATTCTACTTCTACGTCAGTTCCATTTCAATTCGAACCAGATTCGAAGTTAAACAATTCTAATTCAGTTCATATTTAACTCTAATTTGATACAATTCAGTTTTGGTCCAACCTTAATACAATACTGACCTAATTGCAAGTTATTCCTATACAAGTGCAATTGAATTCCCATGTAATTCTAATTGAATTCTATGTCTATTTCATTGTTTCTTCCAATTTTGTTCCAAGCGAATTGCTAAAATTCAAGTTTGAATGTTTTGCGATTAAATTTTGTTGTGCTTCCGTTTTAAATGTGACCCATTTGGACCCTAACTCAATTCCAATTAAATGTTCGAGCAATTCTAATTGGATGTTTTGCTTCAAAAACAATCGTTTTTCAATTTTGAAACAAATTGAGCGCCCCTTTTCTACTCTGGGCCTTGTCGCGACGAAAACAGTTCACCTGGTGTACACCTAGCCATCATGACTTGATCCATCTGATATGTCTAGCACCCCCCTTATGGCGAAGGGTGTACACCAGCTGCATGGCCTGACCGTACGTCGTTGGCCAGCACGCTTGCAACCGAAAGCGCGATAGCAATCTCCGCTCTGGGAAACCGTCCATTCGAGGCCTTCGACTTTGTATCGAATCCTCTTGAGCTCCTTTCTCACATGGCTCTGGGCCTCATCACGCATCGTGACAGCTTTTGCCATCATCTCTTCTGCCTTTGCCATCATGGCTTCTGCTTTCACCTTTGACTCTTCACCTTTTGCTCGCCAGCCTGAGGCCACATCGATGGCCTTGGCTGCCTTCTCCTTTTCTTGTGCTGCAATTTCCTTCCATCTTTCACCACTTCGTGCAGGATCCTTCAACTGCTCGAGCTCATCTCTTGCCTCTTGCAACTCTTCACGAGTTTCTGCTGCTTCTTTTCTTTCTTCATTCACCTCTTCTCTGAACCTTTCAATCTCCTTTCTTTGCATCATCAATTCATCCTCCTTTCTCTCAAGGTCACTTAAGACCTTTGACAACTTCCTCTTAACCTGCTTCATCTCCTGCTCTTCAATGACCTCCGGATCGTCGGTCTTGTTGAACCACTCGTGGATCCATGCCCTCACAGCCTGACATAGGCTCAAGGCCCCGAGAGTTGCCAGTACGATTGTGAAGGCAAACATCCACATGAAGTTTCCACTGCTCTCCTCCACTGCTGATTGAGTTGTCATCACCAGCTCTTCACCTTTGCTTCCTCGCAATAGTGCCATTGCAATCACCATTGCTACCTTTGCACCACTGCCTTTGAAGGATTTGCCCATCTTCCTCATCTCTTCTTGAGCCGCGATTCCATTGTACTCATCACGGCCGATCTTCTCGTCATTGTCGTCCACCATCTTCATGAGGAACTTCAAACCTTTCAGACGACTTTTGCTGAGACACTTCGTTCCAGCATCACTTGTGTCGACTGCTGTTGGCACTCCAGTCACTCGAATCGACTTGTCCATGGTCTTCTCCTGCAACCAAAGCATAGCTGCTGCAATGTGCCTGCTTCGTCCAATTCCAACTCTTGTTGCCAGGGCCCTTGCTGCTGATGAATCACTTCTGCAGCATACCAACAATGCACGTTCACCTGCAATGAACTCCCAACAATGTTGTATGAACAATGCTTCACTGCAACCGCCAACCATGCAGATGTATTCGCTCTCTCCGGAACTCAATGAGATGCTCTTTTGACATCGGACATAGCTCTCCATCATGTTTCCATTCAAATAAATCTGAACAGATGACACTGAGCGTCTTGTTGATTGCTGTCCGGCATAGTCCGCATCACAAATCACTTCCAGAAGACTTTTCTTTCCTTCATCTTCCCATTCAAAATGCTCCTCACCTGAATCAACAAACAGCATGCTTCGACCTTTGGGCCCTTGTTCCAGCAAAATGCCTTCTCCAATGGTGCCCAACAAATATGAACTCACATGCTTCATGTATTTCCATCCAGCCTTTGTTGGTCGCTGCATCAATGCTGCAAGCCCTTGAGATACGAACTGGATGTCAGGTCTGTCGGGAGCAATGTAAAGCAACTTTCCGACTGCACTCCGGAATCGAGTCACTTCACTCTCCTCCATGGGCTCATCATCTTTTGACAGCTTCGTGAAATTGTGATCTGTTGGTGTAGTCCGGGGTTTGAGCTTCTCCACATGGGTCAACTTTGCCAGCTCTCTGATGTGTTCGCTGTCTGCTCGGACTGTGATGCCATTCTCAACGACTTCCATCTTTCTCTTCAAATACTCGAATGCTCCATGTCGAATTGGGCCTTTCTTTTCGAGCTTCCACTTCTTGCTCTCCAGAAACTTAATGAGGCCACTTCCTCTGGGTCACCAATGACCATCAGATCATCGACATGGATCAACAGAAGCCGTTCTCCCACAACATATGTATCCTTCTTCATCAACGTGGGCTGCATCTTGTCCATCACCAATCCATACTCCTTGGCGGCTCGACAGAAACCATGAAACCACTGAGCTGCTGCATTCCTTTGTCCCGGGAGGTTTTGACGAAGTCGATACTTTCCATGGGGAGTCATGACGATGGCCTTCTCATCTTCAGGCTGCTCCATCAACAAGAATGCGTCCTTGACGTCCAAGACATACAAACTCAGTCCTGTCATCAACATGAACTGCAACATCAAACGTACAATGACTGAAGCTGATGTGGGAGCAAATGCATCGTCAGTGAATACACTCCACTTGTACTGCCTTGCCACCAACCGAGCGCGACGGAACCAGCCTCCCTGCTCTTCTCGATTCTTCCATGTCACCACCATCTTTGTCGTCAAGGTGTAGGAGCCAGGCTCGTCCGGATCATCCGGGTCAAGACGTTCAAGAACTCCCATCTTCATCAGCCGCTCCTCTTCATGCTTGGTGGCTTCATCGTCGAGCTTTGCCAACTCGTCCTCCGTCATGTCTGGTGGTCTTTCATTTCCAACTTGCTCCTGGATCTCTTCATCGCTGTCGACGTTCAGCTCAGCCTGCAAGAGCTCCTCCGCCAGCAAACTGTCTCCTCCAGAATGTGTCTCATGGATTGACCTCAATCGTTTTGGACTGGGCTCCTCAACTTCATCTGGAATCTGGATGACAGCTGGCCTCTTGATCTGTGACCCACTGCTGAAGGCTCCTTCTCTTTCTCCACCAGCCCATTGCCAGATAGTGTCTTTCTCAGTCCTCCTCATCTTTGATGGACTTTCTTCAACACTCACACGAGGACTTTCCTTTCTTGCATCCTTCATAAACGGCAACATCGTCTGTTTTCCTGTGGATTTGCTCTTGGGAACTGGTGCAGCTGCCGATGGTGTTCCCGGTGCCGCCGATGGTGCCACTCCTGGTGTCTTGGGTGCCGGGACTGGTGTCCTTGGTGCCTGGACTGGTGTCCTTGGTGCCGGGATTCCGGATATGGGCACTGGTGTCTTCGGTGCAGGAATTCCTGGTGCCACTGCTGGAGTCTTT